ATTAGCCAGGAGTGGTCGTGCCCACTTGTAAGTCCAGCTACTGGGGAGGCTGAGGCATAAGAATTGCTTGAACTCTGGAGGTGGAGTCTGCAGTCAGCTGAGATCGTACCACTGCCTGGATGACAGAGCAAGACTCTGTCTCAAAAAACAAAACAAAACAAAACAAAAAAGTTTTTCTGTGGGTGGTAAATGCTGGTTGGACAGCGTCAGATGCTATGGAGAAGTCATGCAGGAAAGGAGAAGCCCATCAGCGTGGCTGACTTCATTGTCTTGCCACAGCCACTCCAGCCTTCAGCAACCATCACCCTAGTTAGTAGCCATCAGTATCAAGGCAGAACCTTCCACTAGCTGAGTGTTACAACTTGCTGAAGGCTCCGAAGAGCATTAGTATTTTGTAGCAATAAAGTATTTTTAAATTAAGATATGTACATTGTTTAGACATGCTGTTATACACTTAATAGACTACAGCGTAGTTTAAACATAACTTTTTATGCACTGGGAAACACAAAAATTCATGTGACTTGCTTTATTGCAATATTTTTTTTTGCAGTGCTCTGGAACTGAACCCGCAGTGTCTTCCAAGGTATGCCCGTACCTGAAATGTGCATAAGAGACAAGTCTGTAGAGGTGGAAAGTAGATCGGTGGTTGACTCGGGCTGGGTCTCGGGTAAATGTGAAGTGATTGTTAATGGGTTTGGGGCTTTTCTTTTTGAAGTGATGAAAATTTAAAATGATGATGATTGCAGAATTCTGTGAATATACTGAAAACCGTTGAATTGTACCCTTTATTTTTTTGGAGACGGAGTCTCGCTCTGTCACACAGGCTAGAGTGCGTCTTAGACCCGGGAGGCTTACTGCAACCTCTGTGTCCTGGGTTCAAGTGATTCTACTGCCTCAGCCTCCCGAGTAGCTGGGACTACAGGCGCCTGCCATCAGGCCTGGCTCATTTTTGTATATTTAGTAGAGACGGATTTTGCCTTATTGGGTAGGCTGGTCTTGAACTCCCAACCTCGGGTGATCCACCTGCCTTGGCCTTCCAAAGTGCTGGGATTACAGGCCTGAGCCACCATGCCCGGCCGAGTGGTACACTTTAAGTGGGTGAATTGTATATAAATAAAGCTGTTATTAAATAAAGGGATAACTGATGCTTTTGTAATATCACCACACAGTCCTCTGTGCTACATTGTTTTGTACATACCTAAAAATGAAGGCATTTATGCTTGAATCTGGAACACTAGACTATCACTGAGCGTATTCAGTATTTCCCCTTGCATTATAAAAAGTCTCGTTGAAATTTTGTAAAGCACAGAAATGTGAAGAAAGTTAAATTATGTGTAATAATATTCGATATGTAATTGTTAAATTTTCGATAGTATTGGACATCTGTGCATAGTTTTTCTGTATGTAGTACTGTAAAGCTTTACAATTAAAAGAATTAATGGTACTGTTTTTTGTGTAGGTGGGTTACTTTTGATTTGCTTTGTGATCAGTTTAGAAAGTTTAATTACAGGTTCACCTCTGATTTATGTTTGATGAATTACATATACGTAAAGCTATTATTGTTTTAGGTTTTTTTATTTTGTTTTTGAGATGGAGTCTCGCTCTATTGCCAGACTGGAGTGCAGTGGCATGGTCTTGGCTCACTGCAACCTCTGACTCTTGATTTCAAGTGATTCTCCTGCTTCTGCCTCCCAGGTAGCTGGGATTACAAGCATGCGCCACCATGCCTAGCCAATTTTTGTATTTTTAGTAGAGACGGGGTTTCACCATGTTGGCCAGGGAGGTCTCGATCTCTTGACCTTAGATCTGCCTGCCTCGGCTTCTCAAAGTGCTGGGATTACAGGCGTGAGTCACTGCACCAGGCCAAATGAAGCTATTATTAAATAAAGGGATGACTGCTGCTTCTGTAATTTTATCACACAGTTCTCTGTGCATTGTTTTGTGTTTATCTAAAAATGAAAGCATTTATACTTGAATCTGGAACGGTAGACTATCATTGGAACAGTAGACTATTACTAGTTTATTTTGAGAATAAACTAGTATGGAAGTGAGGTTACTTACTCCACTGCTTCTAAATTAAGCCTATTTCATGACTGTGGTTTACAAAACAAAATTGGGCATGTTTCAGTTGAATGCTTTCAGACTCCTATGAATGAATGAGTGGTCTTTTTAAAATACAGAGTCTTGCTCTTTTACCCAGGCTGGGGTGCAGTGGTACCATCTCGGCTCACTGCAACCTCTG